CTGCAAATGGAAGGCCAAAATGCAGCAGCCTCTTCATCAGAAACATAGAAGAGGCTAAGCCAATCTTTCCACTCCAGAGCCTTCTCTGCTAGAGGAGAAAAGCTTGTCCCGTAGCGTACATTGTTTGTAGGCGATTCCTCTTTTGAATACTTCTTTTTCTCCTCAGCTGGTAATCCATAGAACTTATGAGTTGCATTCTTCACACTCTCCAGTACTTGCATTGGTATCCCATGATTGACAATCTGGAAGAAGTGAGCAAAGTAGCTGAAGTAATATGGAAAAAGAAATTTATTGAATTAATCGAGCTCGTGAGAATGGAGAGCTCTTGTGATATATATAGACACAAGAGAAAACAATTGACCAATGGCAGGCCGACAACTCACCTAAGCTAAAAACGGAATTAAAACAGTAAAAGGAAAAGAGTAAATGCTAAGGAAAAAACGTAATATGGAAATGCGACTTTAACTAATTTTCTGATAAGGCTGGGAATTGATATTCATTCTTCTTCTTCGAAGGATTTGTTGTCTGCATGATTACTCTATTGTTGTCATTCCTTCATCCCCCCTCAAGTTAGATTTGGTGTAAATCTCCTAAACCCAACTTGGAGAGAAGATAAGAAAATTGAGGAGGAGCAAGAGGCTTGGTGAACAGATCTGCAAGCTGAAGGCTGGACGGAACAAACTGTGGGAGGATGAAGCCAGACTTGAACTGATTACGGACGACATGACAATCTATGTCCAGATGTTTGGTCCGTTCATGGAAAACGGGATTCGTAGTGATGTGTAAGGCAGCTCTGTTGTCGCAATTCAAAGGAATAGGTGTCGAGATAGGAACAAGAAGATCCTTGAAAATATAGGAAATCCATTGCAATTCACAAACAGTGCTCCCCATGCTTCTATATTCTGCTTCAGCGGAAGAACGAGAAACCGTCGTTTGCTTTTTTGTTTTCCAAGAAACCAAGGCAGATCCCATAAAAATGCAATAACCAGTGAGGGATTTTCTACTATCAAGACATGAACCCCAATCTGCATCACAATAAGCTTCCAAAGTGAAGGAGCTTTGAGCTGGGAAGAAAAGTCCCTTAGATGGACAACCTTTGAGGTATTTAAGTAGATGCAAAGCAGATTCCCAATGAGCTTGACACGGAGCATGAACAAACTGGCTGAGTTGCTGAACCCCATAAGTAATATCAGGCCTAGTCAAGTTTAAATACAGGAGACGCCCAATAAGGCGACGATACCTCTCAGGATCAGACAACAAGGATCCAGCCTGTGCCACAAACTTCGTGCCTTTAGGAACTGGTACGGGTACCGAATTAGCACCAACAAGACCAGCTTCCTGTAAGAGATCAATAATATACTTCCTCTGATTAACATACATTCCATCAGCATTCCGGGCAATTTCCAAACCCAAGAAGTACTTCGCATATCCTAGGTCCTTGATGGTGAAAGCTTGATGCAAGAATTCCTTTGTGTCGAGAATATCCTGTTCACAAGAACCTGTGATAAGAACATCATCAACATACACCAGGAGAAAGAGAGTGTTCTGTGAGAAATGTTTAGTAAATAGACAATGATCATGGGATGACTGATGGAAACTACATCCCTGAAGTTTAAGATACAATTCAGTATTCCATTGGCGCGAAGCCTATTTTAAGCCATATAGACTCCTCTTAAGCTTGCAAACCTGCCCTGCTGAGGCCTTGGAGTATCCCTCAGGAGGCTCCATGTAAACTTCCTCATCTAAAAAACCATGAAGAAAAGCATTGTTTATATCTAATTGATGAAGGGGCCAACCTTTCCCAGCCACAAGAGCCAAAAAAATTTGAACCGTAACAAGCTTAGCAACTGGCGAAAAACTATCAAAATAATCAATGCTTTGCAATTGATGATATCCCTTCGTTACAAGCCTCGCCTTGTACCTATCCACTGTACCATCAGCATGAAACTTAATTTTGTATACCCATCTAGAACCAATGGCTTTCTTGTGAGGTGGAAGGGTGGTTAAGTCCCAAGTGTGATTAGATTCTAGAGCATCAAATTCGATCTGCATAGCCTTAGTCCATTCTGCACTTTTGCTGGCTTGATTGTATGAAACAGGCTCCTGAGCAATCGATACATTTGCCAGGAAAGCACAATATGAAGGTTCAAGTTGTGGGGAAAGAACAAAGGGGAAAGTAGGGGGCGTAAAGCCACAATAAGATGGAGTAACCTATTTGCAGCATGAAACAACATCAACAATTGGCTAAACATGTTTGGTAGTAACACTGGTGATGTAGTCCTGTAGCCAAGAAGGTTGAGATTTTATTCTAGCACTCTGGCGAAGAGAGGGAAGAGTTGATTCAGAGTGAGGTGAAGAATCAATAGGGGCTCCAGAAGTGGACTGAGTGTCTGGGAAAGGTACCGGAATGAGAGAAATAGAATCGGAGGAAACATTGGGAGGAGAAGAAGGCTCAGGGTGAGGGTCTGCTGGTGGCAAAACAGGCAAAGGAGCAACAACGGTATCAGTATGGGAATCATCAAGGTTCTGAACATCATCAAAATGCTGAAACAGAGGTAAAGAAGGTTTGGAAGCATTTGACTGTTCAGGCTGAAAAGGAAAAATGGACTCAAAAAATTCAATATCTCTAGAGACATGGATTTGGTTGGTGTCAATATCAAACACCTTAAACCCCTTTTGACCAGGATTGTATCCAATGAAAATACATTTATGTGACCTGGACTCAAACTTTGCCTTATGTGGTTTGGTATTTGCAATATAGCATAATGAGCCAAAAGTTTTAAATAAAGAATAGTCAGGTTTGTAGCCAAATAATATCTCGAAAGGAGTCTTCCACTGTAAAATCTGGGTAGGTAGTCTATTTATGATGAATGTTGCCATTAACAAAGAGTATGACCAGAATTTTTTTGGCTAGTGTGCTTGAAACATTAAAGATCTAGCAATTTGAAATAAGTGTTTATGCTTACGTTCAACCACCCCATTTTGTTAGGGTGTGTAAACACAGGTTCTATGATGAACAATTCCAAAAAATTTGAATATGCTTTGACACTCATGACTAAGGAATTCAGACCCATTATCGGTCCTAAAACATTTGACTCTTTTATTGAATTGTGTCTGGATCATTCTGAAAAAATTATCCAAAGTTTTGGGAACTTGTATCTTGTGCACTAAAAGAAAGGTCCAAGTAGATCGACTATAGTCATCAACTATAGTGAGCATATAGGGTGTGGCTGTGAGTGAGACTTGTTCATGTGGCCCCCAGACATCGACATGTATAAGATCAAAAATGGATTTAGTATGTATAGTGCTGATGGGAAAAGAGCTCCTGTGCTGTTTTGCCTTGTGACAGATTTCACAATGTTTAAGACTATCAAAATTTTTCGGAAGATGTTTGAAGAAATCCAAATATTGCATAGCATGGTAAGATATATGCCCAAGTCTATTATGCCATTCAAGAAGATGATCAGTGGATGAGAAAACTGAAATTTTATTGATATCAAAAGATTGATTACAAGATGCAGTACATTTAGGAAATTCAGATGAAGCTATCAGATTTTCTCTATTTCTATTTTCTTCGAAAATGAAACTAGATTTATCCAACAAGTATAACTTCCCTACAAGCTTGCCAATTGCCAATACTTGTTCACTCTGTAGGTCCTACAATAAACATGAATCAGGGTAAAAGGTTAATTTCAGTTTCTGTGATCTGGTGATTTTTGGCACTGATAGCAGATTGAATTTGAAACTAGGAACAAATAAAGTATCTGTTAGAAGTAGTTTGGGGTGTAGGTCAACATTCCCAATGTGTTTTACTGACTTATTTGTTCCATCAGGTAAGCAAATGAGAGTAGGTTGTGAAATATGGGTTAATTGTGTCATTAGATTCAAGTCTGAACAGATGTGATTGCTAGCACCTGTATCCATGATCCAGGTTCCTGGTTTCACACGATCTAAAACAGCTAAAAGAGAGTAATGTGAACTCATACCTGCATATTCTGTAATGTGTGCAAAGTTCACCTTATTTTCTACCTCCATCAGCTTCTTATCTCTCAGCACTCTTAGCACTTCCTGTGTCACCAGATCTGTTATATCTGTGGATGCTCCCAAATCCATTTTCCTGTTCTGATTGACTTTATCATCTTCAAAATCCAAAGGTGTATTAATCATGTTGACAGAAAAACGTTCATCTCCATAGCTCCTAGGCCTCTGTTCTTTCGGCATTTTGTACTAATCAGGATATCCTATTAGTTTAAAACAACTATCTCTTGTATGACCTTTCATATTGCAGTGATTACAGTGATTTTGTTCCTTCTCATTTCCAAATCGTTTATAACTTCCTCTCCCTACTCCATACCTTACTGTGTTCCTATTGAAAGTACCTCTACTTCCATTTTCTCTCCTGTAATCCATGGGTTTAACTAGCATAGCTGTGTTATAATTTGAATCAAGGAAAATATTGTGAACCTCTCTCTGTTTTTCCACTCTCAATACCATAGAATATGCTTTGTTGACAGACGGAAGCGGATCCATGACTAACACTTGATTTCTAACATGATCAAAAGTATCATTTAATCCCATTAGAAACTGCATCAGCTGATTAAAAATTGTTAGATCTGAAATCTCCTTTGATGCTGAACAAGTGCAGGTAGGAATCGGCATCAGACAATTCAATTCATCCCACAGCTTTTTGAGTTTAGTGTAATACTTTTCAACAGTTAAAATACCTTGTGTGATGCTACTGATTTCTCGTTGTATTTGATACATCATTGGGCCATTGCACTCACCATACCTCTCCTTCAGTTCATACCATAAATCCTTTGCTGATTTAGTATAGATGAAGGCTTCAACAATATCTTTTGCAATAGAATTCAACAACCACGATCTAACCATACAATCAACCCTAATCCACTGCTCGATTTTAGACACATTTTCTGTGGGTTTATTACACCTTCCATCAATGAAACCCAATTTCATCTTAGCTCCTAAAACTATGATGATAGATCTACTCCAACTTAGATAATTTCTTCCTGTTAATACTGAAGAAACTAAAACCATACCAGGATGATCTGAATTTTGAAGATCCAACGGATCTCCATTTGAATATTCCTTTCCTGCTGTTTCATCCTCAGTATCTGATCCTGTCGCCATCTCTTCTTCAGCTAATTGATTGGGTTCTTAATCAAAAATTCTGAATTAGCAACCATGCTCTGATACCATGAGCAAAGTAGCTGAAGTAATATGGAAAAAGAAATTTATTGAATTAATCGAGCTCGTGAGAATGGAGAGCTCTTGTGATATATATAGACACAAGAGAAAACAATTGACCAATGGCAGGCCGACAACTCACCTAAGCTAAAAACGGAATTAAAACAGTAAAAGGAAAAGAGTAAATGCTAAGGAAAAAACGTAATATGGAAATGCGACTTTAACTAATTTTCTGATAAGGCTGGGAATTAATATTCATTCTTCTTCTTCGAAGGATTTGTTGTCTGCATGATTACTCTACTGTTGTCATTCCTTCAAGAAGCCCCATTTCTCTGCTGCATTGCATATCATGTCTGCTACCATTTGTTCATTCGAATTCGACATGTCAATGTCAGGAATGGACTCCTCAGTTAGTATAGTGCTGGTAGAGATCTGTTCTTGAGGAGGTTGAATATATTGCTTAGGTAATGTTTGAAGACCTATATCAGAAAGACCCTTAACTCCTTGACCTTCATCTACTACAAATTTTTTTATATCCTTTTTTGAGTTGGATAGAATTGTTGAGAGTGCTGAGCCATAATTGCTATTGAGTAAAAGATAAATCTGAATTTGAAATAAGTAGATTTGATTGTGGCTTATTTGGAGTGCCATGAATGGCTATATATATACATACTCTTTTCTTTTAAGAACTTGATCGATTATTTTCTTAGTTAATTAGATTGTTTGCAATTTTCATGCCTTCTTGTTTTTTAAGCTTGTATAAATATTGCAGCAATGGGTATGGGGGGTTGGTGAGTAAAGAGAAATATGTACCTCATTTCTATATATTGCATTATGACTTTTTCGTAACTTATAATTTTATCCTTCTACTTGCACGGTAAAAATAATCACCATAATAGAATGTCTACAAATGGGTAATATCGGAAGTCAAAACAAATTAATTCATGCAAGCCAAAAAATAAATAGAAAAAGAACTAGAAAACAATAGCTATATACATGAATTATAAAAAAAATTAAATCAATTAGCTGAATTATCATAACATGGTGTATCCTTAACAAGTGGATCACCATCACATGTCAGCCTCTTTGTTCGGGATTGATTATCATTAACTTTTTAGGAATTTTTGTATGAGGAATAGTGTTGAAGATTATGAAATGTGTAAAAATAAGTAGTAGAACTTTCGATTCTGTGATTGAAATCAAAATTTGACTTTTAATAGATAATAAAAATAAAATTTAAATTATTAATAATGTAAGATGAAAAAGGCATAACTCTAGTTGCAGACGCGTAGGTTATAGCCTCAATAGGTGATGCAAACATTAAAATAGTGTTTTTAATTGTTGTTAATGCCTTGACGTTTTTTGAGTTCCAACTCATGTGAGCCTTTTCTTTATTAGACCAACTAATATACAATTTTTTCTTTAATTTTTTAGCGTTCTATTTGGTAAACAAGTTGTTTATGTCATCTTCTCATCCCATCAAGACTCCAAACAACCCATCCTCGCTTTCCTCGTGTGTGTCTTCATTGCACATGCTTTAATGTTTGACTTGGTCGTCTTGTTTGTGTCTATAATAGACACGTTTTAATGTTTGACTTAGTTATTACATTTGTTTCTACATTGAACATGTTTTCATGTTTGATATAACTAATCTTCATTTCACATGTTTAGCCTAATTAAATCAATTTAAGCGTAAAATAGTGAAGTAGTTTGCCCAACGACCCAAGTAGTGCATCTTATTGGGTCCTTTATTTTGTAAAGAAACAAGTTTTTACACATGGGAGGGATGATGTTCTTCTAAAAGTCATTTTTAATGAATAGATAAAGTCAACGTATGAGTTTGAGTATACTACAATGTATTGTGAGAGTGATAATTCATATTTTTACGCAATGAGGAGTTACAAATGAATATTTTAGCAAAATCGATTATTAAAATTTCAACTGCATCATACAAAACTAGTCCTTGCATATGTATGTATTATAAAATCCTATTTTTTAAAACTTATTCGCAACACAACTACAAAATTATTTTTACAAAAAAAAATGGGACTCGAACATGACCTTTAATATGTTAAAATCGACCACGTAATAGAATAAAAAGAAGTAAAAGATTTTGGAATAACATCAAAACATGTCTTGAACTGATATCCTCGTTTTTGATATAAACTGCTACTAATGATTTTATGTTTTGCACATTTTAAAATGCCCTTGTGAAGAATTCTCAGTGTGAAAAGAGATGAAACCCTCGTCTCCATACACAATTGAAAAGCATATAAAATGTAAATAGCTTTATCTATCTAAGATGATTTCTCGTCTTATCGTGCATGCTTCCATCCACATGAGGCCTAGATGTCTTTCTGGCCTGATGATTTCCTACTTGGATGAAGTAACGAAGGAAAAGAAGGGGCATTGAAGGCAGTTTTAAACTGTTTAACTCCTAGCTTTAGCCTCCGTTCGGATACACAATTTATAAATCGTTCATGAATTCTCTCAAAGTCAAACATTAATTTCAATCATACATTCATAACTACTACTCATTTTTAAGATTACTATAGACAAGAAAGATAGAATTGAACCAATGTCCTTGAAGGAATTATTCACACATTTCGGGACCCACTATTATTCGTATTTATAAATAATTAATAAATTTGCCAAATAGAGGCTTAATTAGTGACACTAGTATATTTTTATTAATTGCCCACATGAACTTGGCAGACAGAGTGAAGCATGACGAACTATGTGAGAGGGATAGGGTTCGATTCTATGCACTTTCAATTTTTTTTTTTAATTTCTTAATACAATAAATAATAACTAAACAATTATATATTATTAATTTTCGTTTTCAAAATAATTTTTTTTAAAAAAGTTATTGACTCAAATTATTACTCCATGATATATATACTTTTATTGTTAGGTTTTATTAATTTATTTTATGAAATTCAAATTTGGACAATTTGAGTGCCGCTCTTTATTTTTTTAAGAGTTCGAAAAACACTTTTTATTTTGGGATAAAAAATAGTTCTAAATCTAAATTTTACACAACCTTCGCCTAAACTTGGAGCTTGTCTTTACCGTTTATTCATACTTTACATATAAATTGTTTCGTTTAAATTCGTAAAAAACTTGAAACTTGATCATACACATGTGATTGAAAAATATATTTTTTTCCTTATCATTTTAGGTATTTTTGGGTCATATTTTCAAATGTATATTACTTTTACGTTTTACCGTATTTATATATTGATTGAATTTTTTAAACATTATTTAATTAAATATTAATAAATAATCTTACTGCTGTCTTTATCTTGAGTCCGCCACTCGTTATCCATCTTGTGGCTCAGCACACCCTTTTTTTTTTACTTGTCAGACCTCTTTGACGGTGTTTATATATACACATTTACATGCATATTCTTGTGAATATTATTATAATGCAAGACAGAGTAATACAGTTTGATACAGAGATGGGGAACAGGACAACATACCCACCGCCACCGCCACCCCCAACCCCAAAACACAAGCACATATCCCTCACCACCAATCCTATGTATGTGGAGCAGAACATTATTATTCTTCAAAAGAGAGACACAGAACACAAAAACCAAACACCCTAAACTTTAGTTCAGTTCTCCTTATTGTTCATTATTCTTTCTGTTGCAGAAGAGGTCGTAGCATTCTATTACCTTTACTGCACTTTTGCAAAATCAACAGTTTCCTTGCCATCATGGGGTTTCTTGAAAAAGTGTTTGACATACTCCGAGTACAGAAGCTGTTTGTATATTGGTTTTTCCCCATTCTGCAAAACTTCTGCCAGAGGGCCAATTACATCACTAGGTTTAGGGTTCACAAAGATAGGCACTGAAACCCTGTTATTGTTCCCATTAGCAATCACGCGGTGCTCAATGCTCTTGTATCGACCATTGCTCAGAATTTGAAGTGCATCACCAATGTTGATCACGAGAGATCCATTGATTGGTGGGACATGGATCCAAAAATCAGTGTCTAGTTTTCTCACGTAAAGCCCTCCAATTTCATCTTGTAGGAGAATGGTCAGTGTTGAAACATCTGAGTGGCGCCCTACACCAATTGTGAGATCGGGATTTGGACATTTGGGATAGTAGTTAAGGTTAATCCTCGTTGAACCCATTAGAAGAGATTCCTTGGTTTCATCAATACAGGTTATGTTTAATCTTTTCATTAAAATCTCCAACAGTTTCTTGATTACACGTTCTGACTTCTTCCTGTATTCCAGTGCCTCATCCCTACAGATAAATGTTGGTTAATTAAGTTGTCTTTGGGAGATAGAAACCGAAGTTGACGACGTATGGCCAAAACTAAATTAAAGAATGAATGCAAAGAGTTCTGCTAGTAAGGGATTCATATTTCCAATCAAATTTATTGAGATTAGAGCTTGCTTTGCTACTGTTATCATGTAAACATGCATGATGTCATACATACACACATAAATATACATGTATTGGAAATTAATGCCGTAAAATTTCATAATGTAACCTGCAAATGGAAGGCCAAAATGCAGCAGCCTCTTCATCAGAAACATAGAAGAGGCTAAGCCAATCTTTCCACTCCAGAGCCTTCTCTGCTTGAGGAGAAAAGCTTGTCCCGTAGCGTACATTGTTTGTAGGCGATTCCTCTTTCGAATACATCTTTTTCTCCTCAGCTGGTAATCCATAGAACTTATGAGTTGCATTCTTCACACTCTCCAGTACTTGCATTGGTATCCCATGATTGACAATCTGGAAGAAGCCCCATTTCTCTGCTGCATTGCATATCATGTCTGCTACCATTTGTTCATTCGAATTCGACATGTCAATGACAGGAATGGACTCCTCAGTTAGTATAGTGCTGGTAGAGATCTGTTCTTGAGCAGGTTGAATATATTGCTTAGGTAATGTTTGAAGACCTATATCAGAAAGACCCTTAACTCCATGACCTTCATCTACAACGAAATTTTTTATATCCCTCGAGTCGGATAGAATTGTTGAGAGTGCTGGAGCCATAATTGTTACTGGTTAAAAGATAAATCTGAATTTGAAATAAGTAGATTTGATTGTGGCTTATTTGGAGTGCCATGAATGGCTATATATATACATACTCTTTTCTTTTAAGAACTTGATCAATTATTTTCTTAGTTAATTAGATTGTTTGCAATTTTCATGCCTTCTTGTTTTTTAAGCTTGTATACATATTGCAGCAATGGGTATGGGGGGTTGGTGAGTAAAGAGAAATATGTACCTTGTGCATGTAAAAGTTTATAGCTTCTGATTTTTATTTTTTTTTAAGGGTTGAACCTATTGTAGATCGAATTAAAACAGATAAATTCAAGATTTTAGATCAAGTGGTTTATCATGCTGTTATTTAGACAAACTCTTATATCTCTTGCCTTTGGACAAAATTTGTCTTCTTTCTTAGAATCATGCTACATGTGCATTTAGGTTGACACCTAGGTCGATTTATGTTAGTACGGTTGCACTAGGTACTTGGAAAATTTAATAAGTACTTAACTAGGAATTAAGTCAACCGATCAATAAGAAAGGAGTAAAAGAGGTTATCAAGTATCAATAAGAAATATTTAATGGCCTTCTACAAATAGTATTGTGACTTATGCAAGAATAATATCAAATTCACCTAAATGCTTGAAAGATGCCAAGCAATTAGGTTTCAACAACCCCTCACCAACACCTCCAAGCCACAATGAATCGAAAAAATCGAGTTAACCATTTGTTATCGAGTTAAACATTATGGATAAATTTTATTTATTTGTCGTTTTCCAAAGCTCATATTTGACAAATTTTTTTTTTTATTTCAGATTATAAGCCGGTTAAACTTCATTTTTAACCGCATGTTTCATTATGTTCACGACTTTTACCCATGTGTTAATCACAATTTCATGGAACTCACCAACTTATAATCTCATAAGATTTTTTCGAATTGGGGCAGAGTCTTGAACTAAAAGCTCTCAATTTCAACACTTCCTAAAAAGGAACACGTTGACGAATTTAGCCCTAAAACGAGTTAATAAATTTTAGGTATTTAAGTTCAATTTTATCACCCTCCTTTTATACTTCTGGCTCCTTTTAGGAAGTGAAATTTGGCCATCTTACTCCGTAAATTTTTCACAATTTGTTTGCTCACTTCGTCCAATTTAAATTAAAATTAGCTGTAAGGGTTAAATTCGATAAATAGAAAATCCCAAAATGAAAGGTATGAAAAAATCCAATAAGTCTAAGCAATTTATCCTTTAATTTAATATATTGCATAATTAATGAAGAAATTTCCTTTTAATGGGTATTAAAAGTCTCAATTTTGGAAAAATAAATATGCGTTTGCCGGGAGTCGAACCCGGGTCTATTGCTTGGAAGGCAATTATCCTAACCGTTGGACTACAAACGCTTCTTTATTCAGTAGCTAAAAAATAATTATTAAATAAGCAATATTGTAAATTATAATAATTAGTATAGTTTTTCTTATTTTGATAAATTATATTAAATACCTCATTTGATCTTTTAGCATCTAATGTCATATTGAGTCTTAGAATTTTTCTTATTAAAAATTTAAACTTGTTTAGAGTACGCTTATATGTTATATATTATTTTTATATTCGAGACGTGAGACTTTTAACCCGAACAAAGAATTACATGTATTCTACCAGATATGAGTTATACGTCTAGTGCTTGTTTGGAAAGTTTAAAAAGTTGCTACAAATTGAGGTCAAGCCAATAATGAATTTTAACCATAATTTACGGGATTATTAATTTTTATCAATTTTTCAACCACACATTTAATCAACTTTTATCAGAATCTGCTAAAAAATTTTATCAAAAAATTTGTCAAACAACCTCTTAGTTGTATATAATATTTATTCTACTTTTGTGCAATTATTTAATTAAGTTGTTGTTTATGACGATGAATAGACGCTTCTTGATTGTGTAAGATTTTTGTACACAACAAGGTTTAGAAGTATTATAATTAAGGAAAGCTCATATACAAGAAAGGACATCACCAACATTAATAATCCCATGTTTAATCTAATTATTATCACCATATATAACTTCTTTTTTGATTTCCAAAATGTTATTAACTTAAATCTCTTAACACAAGACACCATTATTTATAGGACAAAATGAAAAGTGGAGGGCTTCAGAGGGTATCAAATGTGGTTTAGGTCTTTTGCTGAGTTGCATAAGAAGACAATTTCAAGAAACAATGTTTTAAATAAGTTTGATATATAGGACAAATTCTTTTCAATATATTTTGAGGTGCAATTGATAAGTAAGTCAAGTTATTTTTCTTTTTTCGGCGTGATTTCTAGTTTGAAATGCTCTTAAATAAGCATACTTACTAAGATAGGGAGCGAACTTTTTCGCCATTCAAACACGTTTTCTTTTTATATGGCCAATTCGTATCACACAATTCGATGCCATTGTCGTTTAATGTTTAACATGATATCAAGCAAGCAAATAGTTTTTGTTATGATTTATTATTCATTTAATGAAGTTGTGATGATTCACTATTCAAGCAAGCAAATAATTGTTGTGATTCACTGATGTTCCACATGTCAAGCTTTTTTCAAGAAAATGAATTTAGATCCTGTTTGATTGCAATGAATTCCATGGAAAATGTCACATCCGAAGAAAACGAATTTTATTTTAGCTGTTTGATTGCAACGTAGAAATAGAAACTGAATTCTAATGTACAATCATTTTAAGCTGCATTTTCTTTATTTTCATGAAAAACGAATTCATATGAATTTGGCAAATTTTTATTTTCCAACTAACATGAAATTGAAATTCCTTTCCACTTAGACTTCAATAAAGTTATCTCCTCTTTAACTGTTTAAAGTTTAAGACGTGATGATTCACTATTCATTACTTCTCTAGAGGCCGAGTTGGCCTGTTGTCTTAGCTAAGTTAGGAATCAAGCCTTAATCCCAATTCAAAGAGCAATAATAAACTCAATGAAAAGCAAAAAAGACGTACAGGTGTTGCTCGCAGATTTATCATGTTTCACTCTCAATGTGAGAATTATGCCCACTTGATTCTATAGGTTTTTCAATATAAAAAGAAAGATATTACTAGTTTTCTCACGTCTCTTTGTCTTGTCTCTAAGAAAACCGCCCCTGCCCACAAATTCCTTTAATAGGAAATTAGGACTACTTAATACAATGAGGTGAATATCCAATATGAGTGTGACAGGAACTATAATCAGCCTAAGCTCCATTATATAATAACTTGCCAAGTCTGAGAGGGTGAAAGGCTGCAAAAATGTGTGCAGCATTTCCATATGCATGTATGCCTTGTATCAGATCAGGTGTTGGAAAATTCTTGAGAAGTGGCTATAGCTGTTCCTAAGAGAGAGAATGAGTCTTTCGTCCTGAGTTATCGTTTGGCTACACATGATGTTTGTGGGAAACTAGATTTCCATCCTATGTTTCTTGAAGAAGCATATGATCAATGCAAGAACATATGTGAGGAATATGAAAAAACTTTCTACTAAACCCCTACTTTTTGATTATTTTTTCTCTTTTTGGGGAGGGGTGCAGATAATCATTTGAATTTCAAGAAGTTTGATAAAACTTATAAGTTGCTTATGATGCAGGCAGGGGGCAGACCCAATGAAGGCCCAGTGCAGGCATACTTTGGGCCACCCCCCGTTTAACAATATAGAAGATGCCACTGCCAGCTCTTCCCAAGCAGCAGCTTCATAATGTGATTGACCAATTGACATAGTTGAGAAGGAAACTTGTCTGTGAAATTGAGATTCAGATTGCTTCTCGTTGAAATAATGTTCCTCTGCAGATTTTGTGTAAGCTGCTTCGCCCCTGGAAAGTGAACACTGCTGTGATCTGGTGGAGCGACACAGAGATGAGAGACCATGAAAGAAAGTCGCCAGAGATGGCAGCTGAATAATTTATCTCCGTCATCATGAAAGGAATTATCTAGAATAATGAAAGCTATCACCATCGATATTATAGAATCATGTAGAAGAAGAAGCCACTGCCTATGTTATCTATACAGGCTACTGCAGTTAAGTGTGCATGAGTGAGAATTAAGAGAGTGAGCATAGAGCAAAAGCGAGAAAAAGAGAATAGTGAGAGAGAGAACGAGTGTAGTGAAATGTGGAGGGAATAGTTAGTGGTGTCAATAGTGTTTTGTTAAATATTAAAATAGTAAGGTAGACTGGTAGTGGAGAATAAGTGATTTCAATTATACACCACTGATATTTCCCGCACTGAAAAAAAAAATCTGAATTCGCCCCTGAATGCAGGAACGCTTTTGAGGACAGAAGAGAGAAGAAAAGCAATATGGGCTAATTATGGTAAGTAAATTATTTACTTATTATTTTGTTTTTGCTCAACTTTTTCTTGCACAGTTCAATAGAAGTGCTTCTCTGCAGTTTGGTGCAGGAGAACTGATGAATTGGTTGATAGCTCAAACGCGGAATATATGAGTACTTTTGTTCTCGATAGGTGGGACGAGAGACTCGAAGACATATTCGAGGGACGTCCCTATGACATGCTTGATGCTGCACTCACGGATACCTTGTACAAGTTCCCTAATCAACCTCATTTTTTTTCGAATTTCAAATACTAATCAAATTTTTCTTAACAGCCTTTTAAGTACATGATTGAGGTATGAGAATGGACAGGAGGAAAAATCGAAATGCAAAGTATCAAATTAATTGATGACAAGTTATTTCTCGATGACAACTTAATAAATTTTTTTAATGAATGTGGTGAAATATGCAATCAAAACCCAAAAAGTAACAAATTTTGCAAACAAAACTAGAATGACAACAATGGCTTTGCAGCATTTGCGTCACTCAGCTTCGTTGGTTTTCTTACAGATTAATCTTCTTCAACTTTTGTTATTTGCAACTTTTAAGCAGTTGCGGCCAATGAACTTGATCTGTAACAAGACATCTTTGCTGCTCGAACAATGTCCTCAACATGTGGGACGGATATTCTCTCAAGATTTGCAGCATAGGGCATGGGAACATCTGCCCCGGCAATCCTCTCAACAGGGGAATCAAGGTACTCAAAGCTATGTTCAAGAACAGATGCGCAGATCTATGCACCAATGCCACGTTGAGGGAAATCTTCTTCAACAGTAATAAGCCTATTGGTTTTCCTTACAGAAGCATTTATAGTTGACCTATCAAGGGGGCAAATCGAGCGAAGATTTATCACCTCAGCACTAATTCCTTCCTTCGCAAGAATATCAGCAGCCTGAAGAGCATAGCCAAACATTTTTCAGAAAGCAGTGATCGTAACATCCTTTCCTTCGGGTTCGATCTTAGCTTTCCCAATTGGAAGACAAAAACTGGAATCAAGAGTTTCGACAGAAACAAGGACGAGCATCCTCTGATGAATATGGAACCAGAACCTTTAATCCTGGGCATGAAGCATACCATGCTGCATAGCACTGGGAATGTTGAGCCCCAACACCAACACCAGCAGCAGCACCATTTGGACCCCTGAAAACAATAGGCACTGAAATCTGACCTGCTGACATATAATTTGATTTTGCAGCAGAATTAATAACGAGGTCGATGGCCTGCATAGAGAAGTTAAAAGTTCACATTTTTTAGGTTACATATTAGATCACAAATTAATCAATTTATTGGTCACAATAAACAAAATAATTGATCACAAACAGTCAAGTCACACCACACCACACCCTACCCATTCCACCCACAACCACGCCAACATCACCACCACCTCACTAACACTGCCAACATCACATTCACAACCACCATCTCCTAAACACCACCAAAAAATAGATCCAAAATTATTAGTCACCACCACCACCTCACTAGCACTTCCAACATCACCACCGCAGCCAACATCACCATTGGAAATTGGTTTAGAAGATTGAAAATTTTGATTAAATGTCAAAACCAAGAATTTGGAAAAATGACTTTCATGTCAACTTCGTCCAAATATTCGGACTTGATCCGATGGTCAAATTACAAATTAAATAGACCAACTTATTCTACTTGTCGAGTGGATCATTGTGGTATATTTGGAATCTCAAAACAAATTCCGGATGATTGAAAAATTGCGGTCCAAAGTTGGGAAGAAAATAACGGAAACTGCCGAAAATTTGCCCCAAGTGTGTTGCTAGCCTAACGCTTGACTGTCGTTCGAGCGACTGGCTAGCAAACAAGGCTAGCGACGAAGTCACTATTTTTATCGCTAGAGCGAGGCAATGACGACAGATTAGCGAAGGTGAATGGTGCGACCTTTAGCAAGAGTTGCTGAATTTGGAGAGGGACACTTTATTCACAACCTCTCATCCTCTATATATAGGACCCCTGAACGTCCATTAGGCATCCCATACCATATTTGCATTGAGCGTTGCATAAAAATTCTTGCAAATCACTTCCAAATTCATTTAAAACATTTTTCTTCTTTGTAGAGAGAAATTCCGTCGAAAGTTCGCCGTAACTTGTGGTTTGAAGTGCTTCTATCACAAGTTGAATCTGTTTTATCTTGTGAGACAAGTGCTGTGAATCGTGAGCACCGTTGCAAGGTAATTTTGTCTTAAGGAAAGAGTGAAAATCACTTGCCTCGAACTGTTCATCTTCTTCTCTTCTTGGTTTTAATTTTTGGTTTTCGTTTGTAGTTTACATACTACATTTCCAACCTATATTTATAGTGTTTAATCACACTCTTGCGGATTAAACTTTACTTTTTGTTTGTTCGATATACAACAACCCTTTCACCCTTACTTATATTTAACCCGTGTCGCCAACAATCTTAAGGCAAAACCTTTTTGTTTCTGTGGTTGTTAATTTTTTCTCTTCATCTTTTAGAATACACATTTGTGTGAAATTCCCTTCTTTTGATTTATTTACGTTGAACTTCTGTTTGTGTAACAGAAATGGCCACCATTGAAGCTACTTCGAGTCAAAATGGTTCAAACAATGTGGTTCCTTGACTATACCCCTTCAAAATACTGCAATTCCGCATGTGAAAAAACTTGAAAAGTTTGGAGGGGTGGACTTCAAGAGATAGCAACAAAAGATGTTCTATCTTACCACTCTAAACTTTGCAAAAATTTTAAAAAAAACTGCACCGGCGGTACAAGAATGAGACAATAATCGTGAATCGGTTATTGCTTTGGATGCAAGAAGCACTCGGACTTTCTATGCAAAAACTATATCCTGAATGGATTAAACAATATACTATATAGAGTATATAGTTCGAAGAACTTGACCAAGGAATTGTGGGATTCTTTGAAGAAGAAATACAAGACTGATGATGTCGAAACTAAGAAGTTCATAATCGAAAAAATTTTGGACTACAAATAGTGGATTCCAAAATGGTGATTAGTCAAGTACAAGAATTTCAAATTCTACTACATAACATTGATGCCAACAAACTTTTTAAACCCTAATAAAGAACTACATGTACTCTTACCAGATATGAGTTATTTATATAGTAAGTTGCTAAAAAATAAGGTCAAGTCAATAATGAAATTTGACCACATTTTACGAAATTCACAATTTCCATCAACTTTTCGACTACCAATTTCTTAAACTTTGATCAAAGTCTACTAAAACCCATTATCAAAAGCTTTGTCAAATCACCTTTAATTTTATCTAATATTTATTCAACTTTTTATGAAAATCTACTTTTAATTAGATCATTAATGTTGTTGACAAAAATTGAATCTCAGTATGGATTAAAATTCAGATTTTAATCAAAATCAAAATCAATAATTAATTTCAACCACATATTTCTTGAAATCTGCAACTTTTCAACCATATATTTCAACGACTTTTATCAAACTCTACTAGTAATCCCCATCAAATGGCACCAAATGTGGTTTAGATCCTTAATTGAGTTGCATAAGAAGACATAAAAACTTGATATATTGTCCCTCTAATAAAGGAACAAAAACTTGACCAGAGAAATGGGGGACATGGCACATTTTTTTTTTGCAGTATGTAATACGTGTAGCCACAGCCTCTTTTGCAGTAACTCCCTTAGTTCCCAGATAAGAACCGTGTTTAGGAGTGCACGTCCATCCTCTTCTAACGCTTTCTGTCATCCTCATCGTCAATAGCAAAAATATAATATTCAAATTTTTAAGCAGCTGGAAAACACGTGCAATGACATTCAGCATCTCCCTACAGTCTCGTTAAAGAAAGTAATCAGGCGTTCTTCGAGTTACATCTGGCTCACCCCTCCTAGGAGCCGGATCAAACTGCAGTCAAAAATAACTACTTCAATATCTACAGAACTACTGCAAACACAAGCACGCACCTCAATAGCGCGTATATATATATAGAGAGAGAGAGAGAGAGAGAGAGAGACCTGAATAAATGTGTGCCCTTGGCAGTCATCAACTTCTAAGATAGATGCCATGTTCCCACACCGGTAACAATAATTAGGTGCACTAAATATGGTAACAACCTTTTGGTCCTGAAACAATCAAGGCACCATTATCAGAAATTTTACCCCATGTTTGACCCCATCTTCTAAAACTCATTTTTCCCCGAACTCATTTTTAACCACACAATGTCTCAATAAAAAAATATTGCATGTGGATCCATAACTTTTCACTATTTTTAACTATACAGTCTCCAAAAAAATCTCAAAAAATCTTTACCAACAGAGGCTTAATCTGGTGAATTATAAACACGCAAAATAATAGTAAAATGTTCAGAGAACAAATTACATGACCCCAGTTGAATCCCTCCATAACCAGCTGGTGTGCTCTAGCAATAAGCTTCAAATTGTTTGTATGGTTAAACTGCTCAGATATGTCCTGTTGAATTCAATCAAGTAAAAAAAGGAACAATAATTAATTATCCAGCACTAGTAAAAATATAAATTATAAACAGAGTAAAGCAGTTGAAATACTTGGCCGAATGTATATCCAGCACCCCTGGGCGAGATACCCCAACCACATCGATCATCAGGGTCAGACCATAAAAGATCGCACATGGGTCCCTCATGAGGAACTTCTTGCACACGGTCAAAATTGCGTATATTATCAAGAGTTTCAATAGATGGCGACAATCCACCATGCAGACAAAAAATTTCTGATTCAACCTAGAGAAATCAAAAAACATGTACTAAATCAACAAAAGAACACCGTGTCTAAGAGACAAAAAAGGCTAAAACAAGGGGAAAAAAATACCCTAGATATGTACTAAGAAGAGTTTTGAGATTCCAGATAAAGTGGGCTCACAGAAACATGACAAGTGATAGTGTGCTTTGAATTAAACACAGTTTTAGAGCTTGTTTGGGAGAGATTTTTTTGGGGAAGAATTGATTTTGAATAGTGATATGATGGAAAATGTGTGGTTGAAAAAGAAGAAAAAATTATTGATGTGATGGAAGAATGTGTGGTTGAAAATGAGAATTGATTTACTGTAAAAAAATTTAATTCCTCCCAAACAGGGCCTTAATTTCACTCCAACAAATTGTACTTTGAATTAAACATGTACACTTCTAAAAGAACATATGCAATGAAGAAACCATTATATCTCAGCTTGAAGCATGTTAACATGGCTACATTCATAAACACAAGTACCTACAGTGTCTTTTTCCTTTGTCATGTGTAGATTGCTAATGTCCTTTCCAACCCATTCATTAACTACGTGTGACAGAAAATTAAAACCAAAAAAAAAAAAATTAATAGTTGCATTCCAACATGTATAGTGATCCATTTTTCTGTCACTGAAATTTAACATGCTGTCTCCTGTTGATATTTGAAAAGGCCATAGTGTATCACACTTCCCATGTTAACAGTGGTGTCTCAGATAACATCTTAAACATAGTGTTCGTAGTTATTATGTCAATAAAGGAATTGTACTAACCAATGCAGTAAGAGGGAAATAATCAAATAAGTCAGTGAAGATCTTCCACACATTGGCATTACCATACCTGCACAATGTAAGAAGTAGTTCGATAAAAATTAGTCATCTAACATATGTAAATGCCCAGGTCATGCAAACTCACTAAGAAAAAGAACAAAGCGGGACAACAAACTATGTTCTCCATTAAAATGCACGAAGACTGGAAAGGCATAATGCATTGGGTATTAAACTTTATCAAAAAAACTTTATATTTCTACTAAAATAGACAAGCACGCTAAAGAAACAAAAAATAAAATTGCAAACCATGCATGTGCCTTACATATAAAAAGGGTTTCCCAAACATCAATGTTGGGCAACAACATTGCACAATCATGCCCCCAAAGGGAGACGCATTGTACCACTGTTGTGTTACAAGTTTCAATTTGTAGAAGTATTCCTCAAGACACAAGTGAGGCACGCAGAAGAATAATTAGATAGTACAGTCAAGCCATATTGTTGTTGAATCATGAATGTTTAGGTGATCAAGCATATAAAGCTTAACCACAAAAGCATACCTGGGACAAATTTACATGTAACATAAAGCACCTGTAAAGTTCAAACAGAAGCGACGTGCAACTCTCACGTGTGTACTTATTGTTCTTTCAGGAGAAGATATAAGTTGATTTCATTTCTTACATGTGTTATTTATCATTATTTTTCTTTCCCTTTTAGAACAGACCACATAAAAATGTGTAAACTCAAAATAAAAATGAATCTAAGTGGGCAGAACAAGAACAATATTTTAATATTCTACATCAAACCATTACGATGTTAGAAAGTAAGCCAATATACAGAAAACAAAAAACTCACTTTCTCAGGCATTCATCATAAAACCCATAAACTTGAGTAATCTGCAACAAAAAGGAAAAATTCAGCACTAACCATTAAACCTGATGCAAAACTCAAAATAAAATATTGTTGGGTGCTAAAAGAACTTCAATGGAATTATACTAAAAAAGGATAAAAAGTGAAGTCGGGAACAATCATTCCATTATATTTGACATATGATGAAAAACAATTATAGATACGAACAATTACAATTTACTTCAAGCCAAAGTAGCACATTCTGAGGCACAGCGGCAGACAAAAAAGGAAGCACGCTTGGGGCTATCAAGAGGGAGAAAGAGCGTGACCAAGTAATGGAAAGAACGTGACCAAGAAATGAAGCCATAGAATTATACCTGTCGACTTTCATGATTTCCCCGTAGAATCGTAATTCTTTGAGGATATCGCACTTTGAGAGCCACCAAGAGCTGAAAAGAATTATGCATGAAAAAAGAATAAAACAAATATTCAGCATGTAGATCACACGAGCTCAGGCAAAATTCTCGGGAATTTGTAAGGTCTGCCACGAGTGAAACCTATCCATATTCTACTATGATAACCAATCTTCTTTACATGAACTTTAAATAAATAGAAATTTCACTGTCTCGCTAATTTTGATAATTTGTTATTGGCAATTCATTATTGTTATTTCAATTTAAAATCTTCCAGAATAGCCGAATGTGAATTATTTTTTATTTGATAACCGTGGGTGTCTTGACCAGCTTGCGCGGACCTCGACTAATCCCACGAGGCCTGAAATTTACGATCGGGTACTCACCTCAATAGCCCTGAGAGGACTCAAACTGGTGACCATTGGGGAGCAAACCCAAGGCCCGACCAATTGAGTAACCCCTCAAGGTTAGCCGAATGTGAATTATTCTATACACAATATTCACAATCGATAAATGTGCACATACAAATGCAAGTAGAATGATTATAAAACTTTTATTTTTTCATTATTGACGATTTGGGGGACAAGTGCAAGTTATCACACCATAACTCGAGCATAGAAATATAAAATTTGGCTTATGAACTTCCACGCTGATCTTCTGAAAAAGCTTTGTCAGGTTTATATGCTGCTTCACAGGATACATGTTTGCCTCCATCGGATCTACTGTTTGCAACTTTGCATTGCCATATACATTGTAGCATTGGTAATTTCTTTCCTATCCAGAACTTTCTGGTGTGTTATAATTCAAAAAGACATTTTCCACCCCACATCCTATAAGCCACCTATACTCAACAGGCAGATGAAGAAAGTACAAGATGATGTGCAATAGATATGAATCATGATAATCAGTTAGTTTACTAGACCGTCACTTGCCACATTAGAGATCTTTGATCAGAAGCAATATCATAGTCAAGATAAGAAATTTTGAAACTCACCGTTACTGTTTCGACTGAATAGTATCCACGATCAACATAGTCTCCCATGAACAAATAATTTGTGTCTGGACACTGTCAACCAATGAAAAAGGACAACGATGGACGTATTAATTCAAGCAATGATATTAAGGGATGGGATCTTTTGGGACAAACAAAATTGTAACATAAGAAACTTAATCCTTTCAAGAGAGAGGTAAATAAGCACGTACCTTTCCACCAATCCGAAAAAGCTCTGCAAGATCATGAAATTGCCCATGAATATCACCACATATGGTGACAGGGCTTTTCACGGGCTGCGGTAAGGAAACAAAAAACCAGTTGAGCTTTTTGTCAATACTAAGGTACCTAAGAACTGGACAGTGTTGAAAAAAATAAGCAACAAAGAACCACAACAAGCAGAAAGAACAATTGTAATTTCAAATTTCAAAAGTACTTCAACTCATTTTCCTGCAAGTAAAATAATTTCCTAATTTATGGTTCTAGTCGATGGGATACTCACAAACCAAATTAGCACACCACAAACGAATAGACTGCAAAGAACCTCCTCTAACAGCTATGACCATATATGATGATGCGTTTTAGCACAAAACACTTTACATTCCATAAGGTAGAAATCGTTGCAAGAAGGGACTGAAATGTTTTGCACCATCATCACAAGGCACACATGTTCAAATGAAAAACAAGGATTTAATCTAATGGCTTTCCTGTCCTTTCAAGTAAAAGGCCTCCTGCAGTAATAAAAGTTCTTGCCACAAAGGAATGATCAAAGACTTAAATTTCACAGTCAGCACAGAAGAGCAAGCTTAAGCCTAACCACTAATTAAGATGGCATTGCTCGTGAGAAACAAAAGATCCCAACCGTGCACAGGACAAAACAATTACAGTGGCAAAGTTAGTATCGAAAAATGAACGGAAAAAATAGTTTCTGAGGAAAGAAACACAGGCAACTCATAGTTACATTCTGTTGGCGACAGCAATGATAAGAAAAATGATGAAAAGTGCACACCTGCACATTGCTCTCTTCCATTAGGATCTCCTTGGCCTTTTCACATACCAACCTCACCTACACATGAACAAAGCTGTTGACAAAGACATTTTTTTGAAACAGGCAAAATCCTTCTTGACCCTAGACGATGAAACAGAAGAAGATAATGTGTGAATCGGAAATGAAAATTAGTCACATCAAAGCATAGTCATGCCCTGTTTGAATCCAGGATTCCTAGTAAAAGGAAATGCATCTCCTGGTGTTGGTTTCAGTGGATTACATATGATAAAAGAATGGGAAAACGTAATTATAGCAGGCACTTACGTCGCTTTCTTTCTTAATAACGCATTCAATAATATACCTAAAATTTAAAATGTACAAAAAATAAAAAATCTCAGAACGAACCGCAGATCAATTCAGCCCAAACACCCTGAAAAACTTAAAACTCCACAGCTTTCGTTCTTGAATTTCAAGTCACACAAATCGGATCACAAAATTCGATAACTTATCAACAAATAAGAAATTACATAACAAAATGAAAATTACAAAAAATAAGTACATCTTGTTCGGATAAGGGTTTGCAATCCATGAGCTGAGAGATTTGCTCGTCGATGTTCCCACGAGCACTCGACGCCACCGATGCATCCATCAGATATGGATCTTTCTCTCTCCCTCTAGGAAATCCTAGAATTTGGGGATTCTTTGCTTGTTGTCTTTGTTCTATTACGACGTCGGTTTTGGGAAAGAGAGGTGGATGGAGAGTGAACTCGAGAGGTGTGTAGTCGTAGAGGGAGGGAGTGGTGGAAGTGAAACCAATCAAATAGTGGATTGAATTGACTGAAATACCCTCTCCCGCGCCACTTCCCATTTTTTGGGCGCCATTCTTAAAAAACATGTATTTTTCTCACATTATTCAATAAAATAATATTACACATCTTCTATATATAAAAAATAGCTATGAAACATAAGTTATTATTTTGACAGAAATTCTTGTGACACTTTTTCCACCGTCAACTTTAATGGATTCCGTTAAGTAGCAATTAAGGCAGCCTTTGTGTCCATTTATCTTCTGACAGCTTGAATTCCATTATATAATAATTTCGAATTAGGAAAAAACAGTGTCAATTATAAGTGTACCCCATTGATCATTTTTGTTTGTTTGAATTCCATTGCTTGAGAACTCAAAATTTAGTAG